GTGAGTTTCGTTAATGCACAAACGGAACCGAGAGAGCAGGAACAGAAACAGAAACAGAGCCGCAGTCAGAAACAAAGCCAGATACCAAAAGCAGGAGCTGAATGGAGCAGAAGCAGAAACTGAAACCCAACCGAAACGGCAACAGGGCCCCGCCATGCTCTATATATATATAAAAGCCGATATCCAATTCCCGAAACTCGAGCGACGCGTAATGGACTGAAATCCAATACAGAAATATGCATGACACAGACAAGCACACACTCAATACCCAATATATATTGGGGATATGGATTGGGGACAGAGACACAGACTCCCACACACAGATGTCAAGGAAATATGCGCCGTTTAGTCACAACTGTCAGTTTTCAATTGATTTGTCGATCCGAAGGGGCGGGGCTCTTGGTCTATTGGGGTTGGGGCCCGATGGAAGTTAGCTTCCATCAAAGCCAACAAAGCAAATGTGAAAACATTAAAGCCATTTTTGGCCTGCAACACAAACACGAAGAGCTATTGTCTGTGCTCCTGAAAATGCTGAAACGTCCATAAATCTCATCTCGGGCAGCGCAAACTTTTGGTTTTATATTTAACGATGCTTAATAAACATCAGCTGCAGTAGTTACAGCATCCACTTTGATATTTAAGCCAAAGTACACTCAAACTCAAAGAATTCTTCTGCTAAGGCAAACAAATCTGATAAAATTCCAACCATCTTAGGGATCAATATTTAATGATGGATTGAAAGATATTTTAAAAACTCAACCAGCATAATTTGATATAACTAACCATTTATTTACAGTCTAACCAACGAAAATAACAAAATATTTATGCAAAATACATTTTCAAATTTATTTAACATGCTTACCTATTTATTAAACAATTTCTTAAGCTTCATTGCATGTCCTTAAAGCCATAAAAAACACATGATGCTCACTCAACCGTAACCTAGAACTCAAAAATGAATTTAGGCCATCAAATTTATTCCGAATTTAATATGATAATGTATTTTGCAATGTGTTTATTTTCTTAACCAGACAAGCATAAAAACACTTAAAGTTTATTTCCAAAATATGTAATCATCGATAAAGTTTCTCGTGGGCCATTGTTTTTTATTTTAAAGCTGGCTTGGTCCCTTTTTGACCCCTTATCGAAACAATCAGTAGTATTTGTCTAAACTTGTTCAATGAAGGAAGCTAGTCGGACTTGGTCGATGCTTACAATTTGACCTCCTTATATAAATTTCAAGACTTCTGGAACACCTCCAATACAACACATACATCTTGAACTATATTCGCAATAGTGGGCTTCCGAATTTCCCAGCCAGTTTCCATTTCAGTTGGCCATGCGCTGTTCCGGTTCGCCGACAGAAACTTCAGCTTTCTGGTTTTTGTGGCCAGTCATGGAGCCGGCGAGTTTTGTACCGTCATTGTTAACATCATCAATTTGTGTGTGCTTAATAGGGAAACTGACGCACAACAAAAGCAGGCCAGCGTGGAAGGGGGAATGATGGGGATTGCTTTTGGCCAGGATCTGGAGACCAAGAAAAAAAAATAGGGAGCCGGCGAGAGAGCACAGCACCTCAAAGGCCAGGCCATATAAATTGAGTTGCTGCAGAGCAATAAAGCATCTAGAATTGTTTATTACATTTTTGCCACACAGGCGATAAATACGAGAAGTCATAATGTCGAGGGGTGGGGGCGCTTTTCCCAGCGCTAGCTAGGAAAAGCCACGGCAAAAGCGGGAAAATGAAGGCCCTGGGCCAGAAATCAAAACAATTGCACAGCTCAATTCAATCGCTCGAGTTGAGGGACATGTGGGCTAAGGGCTAAGGGAAGGCGTGGCCACTTACCGCGCTCGAAGGGGCGAACAAGTTCATGAGGTTATGATTTCGGCGACCCCTGACCCCCGAGTAAACAGTTACGATTGTGTTACAATTTGTTACATCTGTAAGAGTGTGTGATGTGGGGGCTTTCCTTAAAGGAACCCCGTGGAGGGGGGCAAAAAGCTCTCGAGGGACTTTTTAGCCAATATAAATTTTGATCCTTCTTGAAAAATGGAAGCAAACATAAATAGCATCAAGTGGAAAACTGAACGTTAACGAACGTGCCAGGGGGCGGGGGGCGTGGCAGGGGCAGGCTGATGAAGGGCGACGCGGGGCTGTTTTTGCAGAGGGTGACAGCGGCTGTGGCACATCGACGACATAAATGAGTGGCGGGCTGAGCGCACATTTAGCAGCAAACAAACAGATTCGCAAACACACTGAGAAAAAGCAATCGAAAGTCAAGGGTATGGCGAGCACTTGAAGCCAAGAAAAACTCGTGTCAAAAGGGCTTAAGGAAGTTTAAATCCCTACACTGCAATTTAAAGTGTGAATTTTACTTTAAGAAGACGAAGATCATTCATAAATCCAATGAAACCTTTAAATGTGCTATAATAAAATCTTTTTACTGAAAATAGGTTCTCCTTTCAAATACTTTTTAGGCTTTACCAATCGAGTTTGGTATACCTTCTTAAAAAAAATACAGAAATCAAGCATGGAGAATAAGATGTACCTAGTTAGCGAATTTGAATCCATGTTACCTATGCTATATCTAGGCCAACAAACAAAAATTGTATTGATTGCTATAAATCCACTTGATTTGTTCGCAGTGCACTGAGCACACAGTTAGACTGACAAACACGCACTGCGAGTGTGTGCGAATGTGCCTGTGACTGTGACTGTGAAGGACACACAATGTGGGGTGCTGCTCCACATGTGTCTGCCTGTGTGAGTGAGTCCTGTGTGTGTTTGTAATAAAAGCGATGAAAATGGCAGCAGCAACAACAACAGCAATGACAGCAGAAAGGAAAACGAAATGGCAAAATAAATTGAAAGAGAAACAAATAAAAATCAACGAGAAAGGCTGCAAAAGTGGCGGAAAAAAAGGAAGCCAAAATGCGAGCAAGACGAAGTAGCTAGCAAGCAAATATTGAGCGAAAAGGCACATCAGCAGCAACAATAAAAGCAGGCCAACAACACAGTTAAAAGAAAAATAATCGTCGATAAAAAGCTGGCGCCAAGATACCCGTAATATGAGCTAAGCCAAGCTAACCACTGCCCCCCAGCAAGCGATGCCGATTCCGATTTCGATTCCTTATATCCATCCTCTAAGTCACCCCAACTTCGGAGAACTTAACCCACAAACCCCTTGGAGTCTCTACACAAAAACAAATACGATACGAGCCTGATATTTTTAGATCAAATAGATTTAACAACAATATAAATATATTGTTATAATCGTGATATTTTTTTATCATATAATCTAATTTAAAACAAAAATTTTAATAGTGCCTTTTACAAAATCATGTTAAAATTAGAGGGCTTTGTCCTATTCGATTTTTTGTCACTGTGTACTTCACCCGTGAATCCCTCACCCACTCGACACTCGGACAAGTGGCTTGGCACATCACAGGCGCATTATTGGGTGACATGTGGATCCATGGCAGAGAGCTCTAGGCTCGCAGCTTTAGCCCACTTGAGTTTGTGTTTTACAAGATACAATTCCACTAATTCCAAACAAAAAGTTAGTCCTCCGTGGCACTCAAGGAGCTCAACTTCTCCTCCATCATGTTGTCTTAAACAAGGTCACTTTCACTTCAAGTTGTCTAATTTACAAATAAAAACAGTTTGTTCGAGACGGCAAATTAATTTCCAAGCTGAATTCCAAAGCAGTTTGGCTGCATTCCTACTTCAGCCAGAGAGTATGCTATGTTTTTTTAGGATCCTTTGTTCCTAGTTTGCTGAAACTATTTGAATTATTTAAATTAGGGCTGGTTGGGAATTTTAATCATAGATTTAGAATAGCGCTGGTTTCCAGCATTTAGCGAATTCCCTTAAAAAATCTTAAATTGCTTTGCAGCTAGTTTCAACATTATTTCTTTATTTAGATTGCGGCACCAAACTAATTTCGACCATTATGGAAACCCCACATGCTTTTAGGAGAAATCTGCTAATGGGACTTCTTCAAAAATAAAACTGGTTATTTCAGCACGCCAAATAAAGTTTTCAATTTGACATCACTTTCAATGGCTTTTCGAGTTATGCGATGTTTTTTTGACATTTCACTTTATCGAACCGAACAAATTGCATAGTCAAATAGCACACGCATGTATTAAGCCATATTTATTCGCAATTGGATGAGCTGGGTGGCGGGTTTTATGTCGAATCACCTAAAATGACTTTTTCTTTCTCCTTAATACGCATTTAAAATGCGAAAAATTTAAGCCCCGCAATGCGAACTATAAGCTGACGTCACGTTCCCGTTCACAGCTCCCAATGGCTTAAAATTTATGACATAAATAAAAATACGGACTCGGGATGGTCGGGAAAAACCACTCAACCACCCACCGAAAAAAAAACCCCACCACCGACCACTCCAAATCGAAATTACACGAAACGTTTTCGGTTTTTTCCTTCGCTGACTCCGGATTCGATCGAACAGAGGAGTCCAGCCATCCTCCTCCTCATCCTTAGCCACGTCCATTGGTCACCTGGCGGTTTGAGCCAGAAATGAAAACACAAATAAATTAATATTTGGCTTAGTGAAATTGAATTTGGCTCGATGTTGGCATGTCTGACTGTTGGCCGGCGATAAAACGCTTTCGTTTTCGATTTCAGGTAATTGCTCGTAAGCGACACAGCCATAAAGGGAACGTCATCGTGCTACAATAAAATATGCAAATTCGGGACGTTTTTTATCTGCACGTGTTGCAATTGAAAAGTTTTCCAGAGAAAATAACAAAAGAGCGAAATTAAATTAAAGTGTAATCCACTGAAAGAACTCGACTGACAGCTTTATGTGTTTAAGTTTAAATCACTTAAGAAAATGATTTTATACATAATTGAAAATACATAGATTTGAAAATAACGGTCAGCTATGTATGTAAATACCAGCATTTCCCTGACTTTCTTCCAGCTCTTCGGATTTTTCAAATTCAAGAGCTGCGGCCACACCAACAGCTGATTGATTGCGCCGATTTCATAGTTGACGTCTGCAGAAGAGATCAAATACAAACGATCCTCGATTTAACAATAGATAATATCACTAAGATAGCAACTTTGCGAAGTACTTAAAACTCCCTATTAAGATGTCAAGATGAGCAACCCCTTGAACGCCAAAGAATTACTCATTCGCGCCGTAGAATGCGACCAAAAAGCTCGAATTCTCGAGGCGCAGACCCTCTACACGGAGGGGATCGCTCAGTTAATGCAATTCGTAAACGGGGAGCCGGATGAAACGAAGCGGAAAGGATACCTGACCAGGATCAAGGAATATATGGATCGGGCCGATGCGATTAAAGCGCGGGTAAACGGCAAACTGATGCTCGGTCAGGTGGTTTCCCATGTTTCCATCGATGAGAACGACACGGGCTTCGACTACGACCAGCTCTTCGGCAAATACATGGATGATAAGACCGTGGAGATCATGGTGGAGGAGCCCTACATGACGCAGAACTATCAGGTAAGGAATGTAAAACATAACATAACTCCTGACCTAAGCCAAAGTTGAAAGTTATCAAAACAAAGTATTGCCAAGTTGATATTGATAAGAGCCCTTTGCAGTATCAAAACCTTGTGAGATTCTTGGAGCTGGCTGTCACCAACTGCCCCAATCTAAAGTATTTTCGCCTGATTACCAAAGAGTATCAGGATTCAAAGAACCCCGATCAACAAAGAACAAACCTGGGACAGATCAAAGCAGATTTGGAGCGGAGGAATATTAGTGTCTGTATCAAATACGAAGACACTTTGCACGACCGCAAAATCTAGTAAGCTAAAAATATTTCAAAAACATTAAACTTTCAAGCTTTAAATATAATAATTAACTTTCGCCTATCCTACTAAGGAAGGTCGAGCCACCCTACTAAAAAAGTACATGTACTATAAAATATCTTATCTCTTTGTGTTTGCTTGCAGCTTGAGCAATGGCTACATTATCAAAATTGGCCGAGGGCTGCACTTTTACAAGGCCGCCAATCCCATGTATTCCATTGGCCTGGTCAACTATAAATTCCGGAAATGCCTGCAAACGGATGTGGATATTTGGCGCAACAGCACCGCCGACTCCTGAAGCACACACAAGACAATAATGCCTAGCTTAAAGTGATACAGCTTCTTTTATACATTCTTTTGGTATTTTTATAAAGACTTATTTCTTCCAATTTTTAGTGAACCATTCAGGGGAGTAGTAGTCACCCACAATTGCAGATTTTGGCCTGCTATAAATCTGCAGACGCCACGAAGACACTGAAACTAATATATGGTCGTGGCCAGAGGGGCGTTTCTCCGCTATTCTCTGGTTCCGACGATGCTCTGCCAGAAAATGTTTAAAATTCATAACTTTCACGCCACTTGCGGATGCGGATGCGGAGGCAGCTGCACAGCTGGCGGGCCGCTCTGGCTGCTGTTTTGAATGCCGCTTTCCACTGAGGCAGCCAGCGGGTGGCCACTGCAGTTGCATAAAAGACAGAAGCGGAAGCTCCTGCTTTACCAGCTTCTGTCCGTGTTCTCAGGACTCGCTTTAAGCCCCGTCCAAAGCTCAATGGAGGTACAGTCGAGCGTCCCGCGGTCGAACCACTTTCTGTAACACGAACAGAACTATTGGCTCACCATCACCTAGGAGTATATTTAACTGCGTAGCAATAGGAATCCTAGAAAGTTGCTTTCAAGGAAAGAGATTTTAAACATTTACTCCAGATTTCCCTCCTGGAACTCCAGCTCGAGTCAAAGTTAAAGAAGTTGTCCTGTTCAATTCCTTGGCAGTATACATGTGCGTGGATAATTAGAACTGCGACACAGTTGGCTGCACATCGGAACCGGAGGAGCAGCCGATGTGCCACCTTCTCGTGTGTGCGGCGGGGGATATTTTCAATTTACTTGGTGCCATGCCAGGGATTTATCAACAGATGAAGGCAATTGTTACGCAAAGGCCCGAAATGCGGCGCGATGAGCCGGCCTAATAAATTGCACCAGAGCTAAAATGCTTTGCTCGCTTTTAAATTTTATGGCCCGTAAGAAGGCCTGGAGAAGACCTCTCTCTAGCTGCAAAAGCAAAGGCACCCGGCCCACCCACCAAGGACCCACTGTAACCACCCCTAATTTTGGGTTTAAGCACGTCTAGAGGTCGGAGCCTGCGGGCGAGTGTGGGTATGGGGATGCTGCCAGCTCTGGAGTGGGGATTCCATTTGCCTAAGCTGGCTATTCATTCCCTGGATGTTCTAAACAAGCAACAAGAGCGGCCCGCTGCTCGGGGCCCAGGATGAACTTATTGAACAATTAGATGGTTCACTTATTTTAGATAAATCTATGAACTAGATGGATCCCGGGGCCTCTCGGTGAATGTTTGCCTACAAATAAGCCACTAACTGACTGAACAAAACAGGCTAAGGAGCTCCCCGTCGGCGAGCAACAGTTCCTTGAGTCCGCTGGTCCAGTGACTCCTTGGTCGCAAGTGCACAAGCCTCCGGCGCTGACTGCCAATTTGTGAGCGATGAATGCAGGCACCGGCAGCGCAGGAAACTACAATACATAACCATGGAATTAGTTATAGTCCGGGTCCTGGACGGGGCAACTTCACTTCGTCCTGGCCGAGTGCGAGGACACAAAGGGCACGCAGAACCCACCACTCTGGCTGAGGGGGAGGAAGTCGAACAGACACTGCCTGGGGCGGACCAACAGCATAACTAATCCGAATATTTTACCCCCCGCCGAAAACCAGAAGCCCAAGTGGAAGCCACTTTTTGTACCCGGTGTTTTGGCTCTAGCAAGGGTATGTCGAATTGGGGAACTTGGGGGAATGGGTTTCTACGAAGGACCTCCAGCCGAGTTTCTTTAATTATTCTAGCTACTTTATTTAAAACAAAAAGCTAATATATACAAAAAAGTCAATATATAAATTAACTGGGCACTCCCAAAATATGTTCAATATCTACTTGGGATTTACTGATATAAAAATGAAACATGCTAATTCCCAATACCAATTTTGTAACCAAATTTTAGTTGTTTTGTAAAAAAATGAGTTCTTCCGCTTCCAGAAACCTGTTACTGGGCATGTGAACGTCGCAATGTCGCAGTCAGGATTCTCACTTGGCCATTACCAGGATGAAGAAAGGAAGCGGCCAATAGATGGAGTCGCGACAGGGAAGGAGGTCCCGTTAAGCGAAATGTTTTAGGTTCAGAGCAGCACTTATGACATTACATTTTACGATACCGCGTGTGTGTGTGTGTGTGTTTGTGTGTGGGTGAGGGTGGCTCCTGCCTACGTGTGTGCTCTCTATTAATTTGCCATAGCACCCCCATGACCTCCCAAGAAAGCCCCAGCTCCTTAACACGATTGTCCTGGCTGGAAAGATTTGTGAAAGCGCCACGTAATTGACTTTGACTTTCACTACGACACTTCGCTCGTTTGCTTAAAATTATCATTGGGTTTTCGGGATTGGGATAAGGAAAACTAGGATTTCCATTGTGTACACATATACTTATGCCGACTTCCTATTAGATGCGTAACTCTGGACCCGCCGAAAAAAGGGTGGCGTCAACATTTTTTTCTTGTTTTTATTGCTGCCAGCAACATCAACAACAAGGACAATAACAACGGCCAGGCAAACTGGCAAATGTCCCACTTGTTACCAGAACGCCCCCTCCCAAAAAACAAAAAAAAAAAAATAGAAAGTGGGTGGGGCCGAACAGCATTGGCGATAGGGAAAATCGGGCCATAACTTTTGTTTTGCTACGTACATAAAATGGCGCCAAGCAACCTATATAGGCCAGACATCAGAGGCGAACAGAAGCCAACGAGAAAGATGTCTGCACTGAGCGAAAAGCCCACTGGCCCAAGATGAATCTATTCTGAGTGAGTTTTCGTATTTCAAACATAACAATTGGAATAGAATAAATATAGGAACAGATACGTTTCCAATCTCTACTTAAATATGTATCCCAAACATACGATTTAACCTACTTACATTTGCTCACACTCTTTTTTTCGGAGTGCATTGGCTTAGGGATGAGACGCAGGAGCACATAAAGTCAAGTGAAACTACTGGCAATAGCAATTGAAATCAAAAACGTGCCATCAACGGCTGCCCCTGGTTGTTGTTGTTTTGTTGTTCTTGATGTTGTTGTTGGCGCTGATGTTGTTGATGTCGCTTGTTGTTGCTGCTGCTATTGCTATTGCTATTGCCGGCGTTGTTATTGTTGTTGAAAGCATCTCTTCTGCACCAGGAGCCGACCATTATGTAAATTGCGTGAAGGACAAGGGGCGGAAGGGTGGAGCGGTGGGTGGCTTTCGGTGGGCGTTGCTAGTTGCTGCTGCTGCTTCTCCTGCTGCTGCTGCTGCTGCGGCGACTGCTGCGGTTGACCAGCAACCGCATCATTAACGCTTTGGACAGGCATTAGGAGAACGCAATGACAACTGGCTGAGGTCTCAGGCTGTGCGTCCGAAATATGAACTAAAGTGATTTTCAAATATGCCACACAGTCGTCGTCCCAGGCACTTTAGGACTAGCCATTGTTGCTGCCGCCTGCCATTGTTGCTGCTGTTGCTGTTGCCTATTGCTATTGCTGTTGCTGTTGGTGTTGGTGTTGCTGCTGTGCCTCGTGCCAGATTAAAAGCTGTCACAGACCAAACAAAGGCAACCGCAGCAGCAACACAAGGAGCAACAACAGCAGCAACACAAAGGATGGCCAGCAACATAGGCAACAGCAACAGCAGCAGCGGCAGAGGCATTTATTGTCCTCTCTTTGGATTTGCAATGTATGCCGATTTATAATCAATCAATGTCAGCGCAAAATTCGAAATGGGTGGTGACGCCTACTGCACTGCTAAAAAATGACATCGGAGAGCAAAGTGCGCCGGAAATCGAAAAAGGAGGTATAGAAAATTAACACGGAAGCGAAAGATTGATTTATATGAATCTGAGATGTGTGTGACAATCAAGAATGTTGAAAATTTGGGATTATAAAACTTCTTGAATTTTGTAATATGTTTCTATGGCAGAGCTGGAAATTTAAGAGTTGCCTCAAAATCACTGTCAATATATAGTTTATTCTTTTCTGAACATAAGACACTTTCTACGCACCCCAAATCTATGAATTTGATTGGAAATTATTCCAGTTGAAGGGCCTTAAGTAAAATGTTTTATCAGAGGTAGATTTTTCTCTAAGTGCTTTTCTCTGGCAGCCTCTTTTTCACTCGCTCCCCCGGGCGACTACGTGGAACGTATGCTGAAAAAAGCCTTCATTAGGCCCATAGACGTCACGACAGGACTTCGCTAGGGCCAAAGGCGCGTTATTTATAGTGCGTGTCCTATTAATGCATAATCGACGTCAATCTTGGCATATTAAAGGACTAACGCGGCCTAAGTCGCTTCATATCCTCGGGCTATCTCCCTGATTCTCCCTGCCCCCCAGCGTCCTCTCATCCCAGCTCACCCCTCGTCACGTTTTTTGGCGATTTTAAACCAAAGATAGATGGCCAGAGATATTTTTTGGCAGCCACTGGCTACTGGTTGCCTTGAAAATCCTTTTCGGTTTGGTTTTCCAGTGGTTAATAGACCGAAATGCGTGTCAAATTCGCCAGCGAATTGATGAACTCGGAAAAAGGTCCGCTGCCACCATTAAATGCATTAGCAGCGATAAGGAAAATATTTATGAATTTAATACTTTGTCTCTATAATGATATTTTGAAATCCGTAAGGTTTCTTTATAAAAACTAAACACCTGGCTTAAATATATACATATTTAACATTCCTTTTTTCCTCCTTAGCTTCTTAGGACATCCTTTCTATTCTCAGGTTGCTTTTTATAGCACACTTATCAGATTTTTCATTAAAAACCTATTTTAAATTCTATGTCAGCCACTGTTTCCTTTTCGCAAATCCAGGCCACATTCTTAGCCAGGAATTTACCTCGGGTCAATTATTTCACTTATTTAACAGGCTTTAAAATTTCGCCGCAAATCCACGCCTCCTCTAAGTCGGATGTTTAATGACCAGGAGACATTGTGACAGCGTTGACAACTCGCTGTAGAAATGGTAAATGACAGGAGTGGGGGGCGAACTCAGGGATTCAGTGAGCATTAGAGGAAGTAAGTCGCGGGCATAAAAAGCCGAGTTGTAATTTGAGTAATTAAAATTTGACACGATAATCGAAGCGCTGGAGC